AATAAGTTCAGGAGCACTTAATTTTATTTTTCCCCAAGATTACGTTGGAGGGTTGACGGATGGACGCAGGTGACGAGGACGCGGGAGGGGTCGAGGCAGGGGACGGGGCAGAGGTAGAGGGCGCGGTCGCGGTACTTCCACTATGCAGCCAGACTACCTGTCTTCCTAATTCCCCTCCCAGATGCTGAACTCTTTGATAGTCGTTGGTAAGTAAGCTGATATCGTTGTCTACCTTTTCCAAGTACTTTCGGAATGTTTATTCGTCTGTCCCTCTGCAAGACTTTTCAAAGCAGACCGCGTCGGTTCAGATAAACTATCCTTGACTTTGATTGCTGATGACAAAAATAGAGTTGCTCTTAATTCGTCTCCAGGGAAACGCTCAGGCTCTTCTACATATTCTAGAAAAGTGAATGTGAAGAATAATAAATACCCTTTACAGACCAACTTTGCTTTGAAATGCTCAAAATCATTACAATGGAATCAGCTTATAAGACCAAAGAAGAATTATTCTCAATACTCTCAAACTGGCCCTCGGTTGTCTAGTCGAAATTAATTTTAATTGAATTTTTGATGTTATACACACGTTGTTAGTCCACGTAGTGAGATTTAAAACTGTAAGGATCGCTAGTTGCGCTGCTAATTTGCGACCAATTTTATTATATGTATTTATTATTGGAGTAAAGAAAAGAAGCAAAGTGAATGATTTAATTAAGACGATGAGATGGTTGAGATTTTGCAGTGGAATAATACAGGGATAATCCAATTTTTTTTCTTAACAAATCGGGTGTCAAGAATTCAAGTAAAGGCGAAGGAATTTATCGTTATAAGTGGATGAAAACCTATTCGAAGTTTAGCCAATTAGTGCATCCATAAATGTGAAAAAATTGTAGGGGTACACGTTGAATGTTTTTTGAAAGATTTTCATAATTGAATTTGGCCTATACATTGTACTTATTTCGTAAGGCTGTATGAAATGCTCTGATGGTAAATTTCTCACAAACTGCCTATAGATCAATATGTCTATTTCACCGGACTATGTGATGAATATACTTAAATCTAGCGAGTTTAGAATAAAATATTGAGGTTTTTATGATAGTACTACGCTCGTTGTTATATGCTACTTTTCAGCTACATGTTTTGATGTGCTAAAAGGCGGTGCATACTTTAAATGATCAGTATAATGCTGGTTCAGTTTTCAGCCTAGGAATTGTTTAGAATAAAAACGATATTTTCGAAATCTACTTGGCATAATATTAGCGAATAGAGTAGTTTGAATAAAATTCTACATCTGGAGGCTGGTTGCGAATTGTCAGCCAGTTTATGTGACGCAAACAGTTACTTGATGAATAATTCTTCTGCATTAATCAGGGTGTGAGAGGTTAAAAATCAACAATTGTGCGTAATGGAGCATTTTGGGAATCCCATTATCGTATTATAAAATAGGTCTAAGTAGATAATTCTACAACATTCACATACATAGGTGCTAGAATAGTAGTTAATTATACATTAGCTGTAATTATCCCCCTAATAATCACTAAATACTGATTTTTTAAAAGGTGTTGCATTTGAAATGCCGCTTTTTTATTAATTCTTTCATTTGTAAGAATTGTTCAACGCATCACAAGAAATAAATTTAAAATATGTTAAAATATTTTTTCCAATTTCAAGTTAATTAGTTTGAATGTTCATATTTCTACAATATCTTGTGCAAACATTGATGGCAAGACAACACCGTAGGTATAAGTCGTATATTCACTACATCACTTTTAATTTGCGTTTCCTGTTTTGGGTGGGGTGAGCTGGTTTCTTCCAAAGATCATACTTTTATCGTAAAATTGTGGATAGTTAGCTGGGAGCAACGTTCTTGTCTATTCTGGTTAGATCGAAAAAAATAAGTAGGGTATAAGAGGCACTTGTATTTAGCAATATTCAACGTTATTCTGTGATTTTTATCAAAATTTTTGATATTTTCACTGTTATACCTATCTTCCATAATGTGTAAATAGTTGTAGTTCTCGTTCAACAGCGCGTGTCTTTTTGTTGTTTGTAACGTTACCGAATTTCAAAATTGTGATATGAGATATTAATAAATAAGGCTATCAGTATAATTTTTGTGTTTCATTCTGGAGTTAGTTCAGCAACCTTGTAGTACCGATTCTAAATGAAGTAATCAGCACTTTGTTCAGTTACAGTCTACTTGTATTTAACCCGATATGTGATTGCTATTTACGTATTCTTCTAATGCTCAACTGAATAAATATTCAGTTTAGAAATCCAACTAAATAGTTTTCTAGTGGTACAATTTGCAGTGTCATGCCTGAAATGTGGATGTGGATGTGGATGCAATGGACAGATCCAATATTAATGTTGCTATTGAATTACTAAATAAGACGAAAGCTTAGAAATTTTTCATTTTTCAATAAAATTTGTAAAATTTAAGCAGGTAAGAAGTGTTTTTTATCATCAAGAAAGCCCCGATAGGTCGAGTCCTCAGAAATAAAAATTGAACGGTTTATGAATCCTTTAGGATACATTTACCCAACACTCGTACCGTTCGATAACGGCTTTTTCGTATAAGACGTGCTAAGAATTTCTCTTCGGTTGCCTTTTCCTTTCTACACGTTAATGCAACAATATTAATGGTTTTTGTCTAAATCCGTCGTGATTTACGTAAGGAAAATCACAAAACCTTAATTGAATTATTATACAGTCTTCACTGCCTGGAACAAACATTGGCATAGATTGAAATCTGCGTTATTGTTGTGCCTAAATGGGAAATGAAACAAGCATTTGCGTCTAACTAACAATCTAGTAGTAAAATTTAGTTCAGTTTGTACTGTTTTTCACGATCATAATTTTTGCGCCGTTTATCTTTAGCAATCCGATAATCCCGTAAAGAATAAATCGGAAACTTGCAGAGCCGTCAGTATTACGGTTCATCATACAGGGTGATTCAAAATTGGCGTCATTCCTCTGGAGGTGTTGTCTGGGGGCGTTTTAGAGAGAAAATAGAAAAAAAATGTTATATCCGAAAGACGGCAACAATGTTTTTCAATCGTAATTATTAAAAACTCCGGTAACCATGGAAAAATACAGAGTGACAATAAAATGTATGTATAAACGGTATATTCAATAGGCTTCGTTAAATGTAGGAATCTACTCTTTTCAAAATGTCAAATTGTTAACGATAAATTCTCCTGGATTCGTTAAATATAGAAGGTACTTTTTCGAAATGTCAATATTGTCAACCAGAAATTATTATTAGGTATTAAAATATATTATTCTCATAACTTCGAATTGATATGTATTCAAATAAACATACATTTCAGACTTTAACTCCAAACAAGTTAGTGCCTGTGTAAGCACCGGGTAGGAACCAAAGATAAGACAAGATCTGGATAGCACTGTCATTGATAAAGACAAGTAGTAGTGACGACAACATAGAACACAACAAGAAAGACAAGTACTTGTCTTTACCTATGAGTACTGTGTCTAACTGTCAAATAATATTTTAAAATGTAGAATAGCCGTTGCCAAACATCCTTGAAAGTTGCTACTTACAAATGACGTAATAATACATAAACAGTTTACAAAGCGGAAATAGCAATAATATGGATCAATTAACATTTTCCTATTTATCGAATTATTGAAAATGTTATTTGTTCTGTTATGTATAGGTATGTGATTTGCATTTATAAGTTAAAACCTAATTGTTATTGATATATTTTTTCTGGACGACAATAATTTGTTATCAGTAATTCAGCATTGCACCAATGACGAAACACAAAGCATGGAAAATGTGGTTTCTACTTAAATTTGCTGAGAAGAAGAACGTTGCACCACATATTGTTTTGTCAATTGTCTATTGGAGTCTAGCTTGCAACCAGCTGCATACACATATGTATACAGAGTGATTCAAAATTGGGGTCATTCCTCTGGAGGTGCTGTTTGAGGATGTTTTAGTACAGAAAAATAGTAAAAAAATAAATGGTTATTAAAAACACAGAAATTTGCAAAAAACTATATCAGAAGGATGGCAGGAAGTTTGTCAAGATAATATGGCCAATTAACATTATGCAAAACTTATTGCTTCGTAATTATTAAAAACTCCGGTAACCATGAAGAAATAGAGAAAGTGACGTTAAAATAGATAAGAAGAATAAATAGTAAATTCAACAGGATTCGTTAAATGTAGGGATCTATTTTTTTCGAAATGTCAAATTGTTAACGATAAATTGTTCTTAGTTGTCATCACTGAACTGAATGTTCAGTTCTTTCTTTAACTCAACAAAACAAGTTAGTGCCTGTATGGTGCCTGTGCAACCACCTTATTGTGCACTCTTCTCGAGCAGCTTCTCGTAAGTATTCGGTTAATTAACTCCTGCTCAGTTTGTACCGGCGTTCAGTGAACTATTGGTTCAATGTGTTCTTGTGCTCTGTGTATCTTACATACGTGGTTGGAATGTCGCCCTTCCGCGGTATTTATTTGGTGCCTGGGAAAGTGTCTGTTGTTGTTCAATTCTCTGAGTACTCCTGGAAGCCTTGAAGAAAATTGCAAGAGAACTTTTTAATATCAAAAGTTTCCGTAACTTGAAGCAAAGATCGCAATTTCTCTTTTCGAATGTTTAAGTAGTCCAATACAGGCTACTAATCAAACATGGGACCATTTCAAAATAATGCTTAATTACAAAGTTGACATTCGATTTTCAACTGTTAATATCTTCTAGAAAACTCTCTAAGTGAGCCCTTTACCCTGTATAACGAATGTTTCACTCTCGTTCAGTATCCCTCTGCCAGCAAAATGCAAATTTCTATAATGAACAGTGACACTTGACGCCGTAATTATTGGACAATAAATAACTTAGCAGGCTAATACTTGGGGCGAAGGCCGTAGTTATACGTAATCCTGCAGGCTGCAGCTTATCCGCCTCCCCAAATCCAGCCTTCCGGCATCATTATGCCACGCTGTGGGATTCCAGATATTGTTTTCTTGATTACCTGCAACCTCCCTTTCGCTCTTACTGGACAAATATAAAATGCAAACGATGTTGCTGGTGCGTCACGGTGACTCAATGGGCGGACGGTGGTTGCAGCTCGGGCCCAGTGGACAGGCATTTAAAGTGCCATGAGTATCATACAATCTAAAATTATGCTGAATGTTTAGACAAAACAGTTATATTGAGGCAAGTGCTATTTTTGCAGATCTACATCAACCCTCTACATAAGGTACTATCGTTGTGAAAGAGTGAAAAATCTCCGATCATCAAATTGGCGCTCTCACAGTGGCCGATATAATCTCACCCTAAGACCATAAAACGATTTTCCCGGAAAATGAGCGGAATTGGAAACGATCGCATTTACGGGAAAAAGAACAACTACCTAGATAAGGACCGTAGGGCCTTATCGACTGCATAATCTATTGCGAGGGAATTGAATATTGGTTGGCAGTTGAATAAAGACGCAATTACAATGAAATGGAGTTCGATTGTTGCTTTATGAAATAACACAACCCATGAATAGTGGAATATTATCTTTTTTTCTTTACTTTTTTTTT